TGAAGCAAAAGGTATCGTATTCGAATACCGATGTGAACATGAACACTGAAATGTAATAGGTACATCCAACTAATGAGTTTTTAATATGATATAACGCACCACTTGGATTATATTACTGGTCAATGCTTACTTACTTTACTTACTTACACCTGTTACGCCCAATGGAGCATAGGCCGCCGACCAGTATTCTCTAACCCACACTTCCTTGGGCCTTCCTTTCTAGTTCTATCCAATTCTTGTTCATTTTTCTCATGTCCATCTCCATTTCTCGGAGTAATGTATTCTTTGGTCTTCCTCTTTTCCTTTGGCCTTGAGGATTCCATGTGAGGGCAAGCTTTGTGACACATTTGGGTGAATGCTGGCCAATAACCAACTTGTAAACAGATATTTATTCTTAGGAGGGGTTCTGTGGAGATTTTTTGTAAATTTTAATAGTTAAAATCATGAGTTAATTGAAGCTGGACCACCATGGAAAACCTGGAAGCATTGGGCGTCCGTTTCGTCCTATTATGGGACTCCTCAGCAGTGCTCATCCACGATCCCTCTCCCCGCGAGATTCGAACATTTTAAAAAAATCAAATTCTTCCCAAACTTTGAATTATTTATTTTCCTTTTCTGCTTTTTGTTATTGGGAAAAAACTGGGTAAAAGTTATCTCACTTATTTATTTTTTTCGTCACAGAAAATATAATAACAATTTGAAATGGATTTTTTTGTTGTTTACTTCATTTTTGTTCGTATGTCAACTCTAGATTAAAGCCGTGCTGTTTTAGATATCAACAAGACTGTATATGTATGTCTTGCATGTGTGTGTGTGTGTGTTGTGCACAGATTCTCATATGTATGTGCATATATGTTGACCCTATTTTATACATATCAGAAAACTTTTTCGATTCACTTGAAGAAATGCATCTGTATGTGTATTTGTTCGCATGAACATTGTTCTGCATTACACTTGTATTAGTTACTGGAGCAAGAGTGTTTATCCACCCGTAAACGATGATGAATGAATTATGTTCGTGAACGAATTCAGATAAATAAATAAATTGAAATGACTATCTGACAGTTGAATAAGAACTGACCAATGAAATTAAGTAGATTACTCAATAACTGATTTAATTCTTCCTTTTTTTTCAATTCAATATTTAATTTCTTTACAAAATGTTAATTATTGTTCATTCTCATCATTACACAATTCTGGTTTATTTATAAGTGTTTGAATCTTCCCGTTGATTGTGTTAAGGACTGTAATTGATCAGTTTCTTTCGGCATATGTGCGTCGTGGGCGGCTTGTATCTCGATATTTTCATTAAGTCATTATCATTTTGAAGCAGAATTAGATAGTAGCTAGTAGTAGGATCCAAGATATGCTTGTTGTCCGATTTGAAACACGTCGACTAGATTTGCTTCGGATTATACTTATAAGCGAAATAAACTTCATTCTCGTTACACAAGAAGTGGCTATCTAAACTCAATAGCTCGGTCCATAATGTGTTAGACCTTTGAGGATAAGGGGATTGTATTCGAGTCCCGGTGTGAACACCAATCAACACAGACATATTATTGAGTCCAAATGCTGAGTCCTAAATAAACCAAAACGTGAATCATTGATTCCTCTGTTACCCACTATCCAAATCTACTTACATAATTTTTGTTGCTTGAATCAAACAATTACAATAGAGCAGTAACATTTAGCATTAATGAGAACAGAAAGGTTGTTCAGTTGTAACCAATTTCACTTTCCAAAAGATATTGATTTTTATCGAATTTTCACATTTCATAAACTGAATGAAACTAATTAGTACGAGGAAATAGTGGAAAATTCAGCGTAGCATTGGAAAGTTGTTTCTGTCTAATTTTGGTACACTTTATATTTTACCTTTTCAACTCAATAATATATAGGGTTCAAATGGTAAGAAAAAACCTCTAGGTTCAATGAGTCAAAAGTTTACTGGTTTGTATTTTACTGAAAGGTATACCAAAAAAGTACATCAACCTTGTACAGCCTCTCCACTTGATTACTATTGGTTGATTTGAAGCTTATGAAGAACTGTCACCGGAGTTGATAACATTACAAATATTCTTTTAGAGGTTACATTTGTTATCTGTCATGAGATTCACTTATTGACTTAGAATACTCAAATGACATGGTCCTTTTTGACGAAGATGTTAATGGAATGCGGAATCTTCTGACCAACTTCATAAAAAATTTAGGCATGTTTGGATGGGGTTCTCTCCCTCTAAAATGATCTGACCCAAGGTCTGAGTTAATGGTAAAGAGGAAAGTAGTTGAGTGAGTTAATCATTTCACTTATCTCGGAAGTCATATCAGCCCGAGTGGGTTGGTGAATTTAGTTTTTGTGTCCACTTAGATCTTGGGTTCCCACACTATTTTTTTTCCATAAACCAGAATTTCCGTTCTGAATCCAGTTGTAAAACGTGACAGTAGGTAGGAGGAAAGTAAACACTATTCTGAGAAGTTACAAAGGATTTACAAAATACACATACATAGCCTTCAATCCTCAATTCTCATCTTTCAGTATGTTCCCAATCTGAAGCGTCATCGCGTCTGTCCTTCACGTGTTATGCCAACACCATGCTTTCGATATACTTAAACTCTTCATTACGTCCGAAAACTGTCGCAACTTCGATGCCACATCCCTCCACACACTACTACTTTCACTACGCTGGTATCTCGCTGTACTGATGTTCAATAACTTGAAACGATGCAGATATACCTCAGGTTCTATGTGACGTATAACTTACTATGTGTACATAATTAAGAACTTGATATTTTACTAAGGAGCGAATACATCCAACGAATAATTAATTATTTTTTAAAATAGAAATACCGTCTTAACATTACGAATCGGCTATAGTTAGAGGTGAGCACTATTATATATCACTGCAATAGTTTGAAAATAATGCACTCTTCTCGAGATCTCGAAGTACTTGTTTGAATGTTATGAGGGGTTGTGCGTGCTCACTGTTTAGTAGGTCTCGAAAATAGTGAAAAATAACTGTCCAATACTTCGAGATTTTCAGTGGCGTTCGTGATGTAAAGACTAAAAGTTGAGAATTTTTCATTGATACTCTGACTACTATTGTTTTTATTATTATTATTACTAATAATAATAATAAAAATAAAAACACGTCCGATAAGTATACTGCTTATATAAGATATTTGCAGAGATTCATTGGTAGGAGTCTTTTTACTAAATTGAAAAACTAATTAACTTGATATAACACAGAAGTATACTTCAATTTTAAACTACTTTTGTGGTTAATGTTAAGGAATTTTGTGGTTATGTCTGATTTATGTTTTTATATGCACTCCAGTAGTGGATAAGTTGAACATTATCATTTTTTTTACATTATGGTGCCAAGAAATAGTGTTTGGTTATAATCTCAAATGTTCAAAGCACTGTTCGAAGATGTTTCGTCAAATATACAATTTAGGGACAAGTTCTTAACAATCACAACGAGTTTCCAACCAATTCTTAGCTAATCAGAAAACAGATTTTGTAAATAGATAGTTTGTGGAAAAGAAAACAATAATATTACAAATTGTAATCTGATTTTACGCAATTAATAAATCTATTAAAGCCTTCTACTACTTACTCTGCTTGTAAGTCGAAAAAAACGACGCATAAGTTCGTTCTAATGGACATAGAATATCCATCTTTTCGAACCTTTATAAAGACATAAATAGATTTTTAATAGTCCTCATACTGTTTCTAGTTAAAGTCAGGTATTTAGGGTTAGGGTTTTTATTACATCCTCTACTTGATTACGGCTAATACGACATACAACTAACGGCAATCGGATGTATAGAACCTTTATAGTCGCAAATCAAGAGACGGAAGAGGTAGGTGAAGCTATTATTCAGTAAAAGTAAAAAATACAGAGAAACATGGGTACTTATGGTTATTAGTATTGTCTATAACATCATTATAACTCAACAGGTAGAAGTTTATACAGTTGTCCAACCATAGCATGCCACCTTGATATTCTAGTACGCTCTATCAGGTTCGTATTGAACGGAATCTCTTCGACTCCTTTAGAGCCTCACGAGGCTTTGTCGTGCTTTTCATAACCGTCCCAACGGTTTTTATACACTAATTGACATCACAGACATGAATTGTCCCGTAACCATACAGTTGAGTGAATTTTGTTCAGAAATACAAGAGGGGTTATCCGATTAATTCAATTAAAAAAATATAGTAACACCGTGATAAGGTTTGTTTCAGGGCTAATGGTTTAAGACCATGGTTTAGAAACAGTGTCGATTTCCCTATTATAAACTATGCAAAAAGACGAAATTCGATACATTTAACGCTATCATTTTTACTCTATGGTAGCAAAAAAATAATCTTTCTTTTGTCATCTTGAAAGCTTTGAGCAATATACAACGGCAGTTTTACTGCTCATCATACATAGTATTTGAATTTCGCACAAAAGGTCAAAAGTCTTCTCCTCTATGATGATTGGTTTGCCCCTATAGTGTGTACACTTTTATCTATTTTCCTTTAGATTAACTATTATAAACTCCTTATTCTTAGTTTGACTGATAAGAAAACCTGAATTTCACAACAAATATTCATTTTCGATTGATATCATGAATAGATAAATGTCTGATCAACATTGGGAACTTGGGAGCATTGGATGGCCGTCTCGTCCTAGTGTGGGGCCCCTCACCAATGCACACCCACGATCCCGCGCACCGGGCTCGAGCTTAGGACCTATGGTGTCGTGCAAGAACGCTTAACCTCTAGACCACTGAGCCGGCATCTAACGGTGTTAACACCTAAATTTAATCGTCCATTATTTATAAATGACTGATTCAATCATGTTCTGAGCATCAACAAAGGGACACTACAAGCATTTAAAGGTTTTCAATAGCGGTCTAATATTGATCCATTTATTATATCAATCAAAACTCAACAATCTCCATAACCTTATACTGATAAATAATTATTTATTTTTATTCGGTTTCATTAGATTATTTCAAGAAATAGTAAATTCAATCAAGAAAAAGACAATGAATACGTTACCAGCAAATAGAACATTGAACACATTCAATGGTAATAATGCTAGACGTTCAAGTATCTCAGCAATACGTTATGCTCGATCGACATCATTGTATTTTCCTAATACAGATACAGATGAAGAAAGTCGCAGTCAATTACTTACAAGTGAAAGTATTGCAGAAACACGTAGAGCTGAAACAATGAATCGATTAAATCGTATCGATGTGAAAAGTGAAGGATCTAGAAATTTAACAAATCCATTATTTGATAGTATGAGCAGTATAGACCAACCATGGTTACGTGGTTATGGTCAAACTGTTGTGTTATCTCCACCAAAAATTAATTTACCTATTCAACAACAAAATTCACACCAATCACAACAACCATCCTCCATGGAACACGATACCGCTAGTACCATTCAAGATATGCAACATTCAATACGTTTACCTACACCTAGAAGTCCTAATATAATGCATGGAGGTTATGGTGCCCTGCCACCTTTACATTATGGTACATCGATAAGAGATGGTTACGCGAGCAGTGGTGGTGTTGGAATTGGGACAGGAGGTGTTGGCAGTGGAATTGGGAGGAAAAAAACCAAGAAGAAATTATCTTGTTTATCTTGTTTACATGGAACTAATAAAGTTGAATCGTCAACAAAGTATGTTATAATCTAGATTAATTGAATTTGAGTTATTCTTCGAAATATTAACGATCAGTTAATGAAATGATTTTTTGTTTAACATGTAAAGACACGGTTGTTTCGTCTTACTCTCAAAAGATTTTGTGATTTGTAAACAAGCTTTAGATTGTCAAGATGAATGGATAGAATATCGATTGATAGGTAATATACAATGATACAATTTTGATGAATGATAGTCCAGTTGTACACGAGAATGGATTGCTAACTTAAACCCCTGAATGAATTGAGATCAAAGACAAGATCATTAACCAGTAGAATCGTTTTTCATTATTCAATAAAAATAACATATTATATAGAAATTATTAACAGTGACAATAAATATATTCAAATGTTAGAAACCATTGAGGGATATTAATTTTGTGCGTTATTCTTTAATGAAGACTCGACTGTTTGGCTTGATTCTGGTTAATCATATCAACCAGAATCGTAGCATGAGAGTGTCCAAACCTGAAAAAAATAAAATAATAACGGACATATCTGTCATATTTACCAGAATTGTTCAGTTCACAGCATTCACTACTGAATAACAGGAAAAAAACAACAATTATGTGTATCTTTTATTAAAATGAATTGATTCTAACTGTTAAGATTTATAGATAACTGAAACTTTGCACGATAGTAGATGACTAACACAGTACTGGAATATAAATTACATTGTATTATGTAAGTAGTGTCAAGGGTAAAGGAGTTGTAACTCGTGGGACTTAAAACCAACCAATAGTGTTAGAACGCGAGAACGAAGGTGGGAGTCGTGAATATACACTGCTGAAGAACCTTATACTAGAACGAAACAGCCGTCCAGTGCTTCCAGGTTTTCAATGGTGATCTAACATTCGTCGATTCATGATCTCAATCAAAAACTCAACAATCTCCACAACCTCGTACTGATAATTTCCATGTGCTCACTAGTAACCAACTTCGTAAGGGAATTCTCGGAGTTCTAGTGAGAAACTGTGACCAGTGTAACTAATCCGTGCCAGGTAGAGACAGGTATCTACCTCAGATAATGGAAGATGGTTGCGTAATATCATGGACTGGATGATATAATTTCATCCGACTCATTAGATCTAGTCGTTTATATTCATTTATAGTTTCAGGTTAATATACACGAAACTTCAAATTCCTTGTATTTCAATGGCTTATTCCATAAACCAGTGTGAAGGGGGGGTTACTGAGATTAGCCTAATCGATTATTTTGTCGTAGATTTTGGATTAACAAAAACTCACTAAATAATACATACTTTAATATTAGTTTAAAAATAATAGAATTTCCATTGCTTATCATCAGATAATGTTGTCGTAGCAACAATAACACTCGAAGAAGCGAAGATCATATCAAAGTTCCCATAGTTGATTTTTTTATACGTAAAATAGGATTTCTAAGCTCATCAATAAAATTATTTATCCTGAGGCTTCATTCAGAAGTCATCTAATTATTGTGATTATTAAATATCTAAAGTAACTTTGTCCCCTTAAAATATACACGCATACATATATGCAGTAATGTACAAAGTTAACCGACTGATTAAATGTGCGTCCATATTTAGTCATGTCATTTACGTATAATTTAAATGTATCACTTCTTGGATAATCGTTCACACACACACATATATATACACAACCCGCTTCTCAGTTAATGTTCTAAATGAATTTTAGGCTTATAATGATTATGATTATTATTACCTAATAAAACGCATTAAGTGGGTAATTATGATTTGTAAAATTTCATAACAGATATATATTGATTGATTTTTGCTTAAATCTAATTTAACCGAGTAAAATACTCACTTATAGATATAAATAAACTTACTTCCTTAAATAAATCTATAACAATCTATAAATCTACACGAGTATCAGGTCAAGAAATGAAAAGTTTTCCCAATTCCCTATTCTATTCATCCTCTCCCGCCCTCCACACACAGTTGTATTATTTTTACTCATTTATTTTTATCAAAAGGGGTACTGTGGAGATAGTAGTAATTTCAATAGTTGAGATCATTTATTTTTATTTATTGTTATTCGTAAATATGTTATTAATTTGTTGTATTATTTCTCTCTTTCCATCTACTCACTCACGTATTTCCGCACATGCAAACACATCATCATCATCATTTAGTTTCTATTCATCATCTGATGACTTAAACTTAATAGATGACCTAAATAAATCAGATGGACATGAAGTGAATAAACGAGAACAACAACAAAATCCATATATTATCTGTTTGTCGATTGTCTTCGCTTTGTTGGACATTCTTTTATTGATCGGGTTAACTTTACTGATATTCTTTTTCAAGTGAGTTTAATGTTTTTTCCCCCCCGAAAAAAGACAATATTTTACAATTTATTGAGTCTGGATTTGTATTTGCTTTCCTAGATGTTAGAGATTTCTGATAGACTTTAGATTGTCATGTTTTAAACGGTAATAATTTTTTTTAAAGATATGAAATTTAAGTTAATATGCCCGATTTCCTCCCCCTCCCATCATCCACCACTCAAAAGTAACCTACTATAAACAATCAAAACCGTCATTTTAGCCAGCCAACAAAATTCCTATTATCTGACCCATAAAAGTACTTAATTTAGTTTGGCAATATGAGTTCGTGTCAACATGGTTGTCAACTATGTTTATTTCAAACAGTGGAAGTGATATGATTTGTCGAGAGATATTCATTGGTGTAAGACTTTCAACGGAAGTAGAATTCCTTATACGACTGAAAGCTTATGAGAATGTGACTTTCTACCATTTACATAATACAAGACATTCATGGAAATCCAAATGATTTCTATATAAAATATGTATGCAAAATGACTGATCACCCTTCAGCGATCAAAAACTTCTCAAGCCACACGAAGGTTTGTTTCAAAATAAATTATTTACCCATAGGTCTAGTGGTTGTGAATCCTAAGTATTTGTTCGGAAGGCTTTTACGCAGTATCCAGAAGTAAACTGCTAACATGCCCGTTTCCTTCACAAAGCATAATTGCCTCGACGTCCCTAATGATAACATGAAGCTCATCTAAGTAAACTCCTGTGTCTGTTTGCTTTTCTCTTCCGAATTCTGTAATCACTTAAATCTCTACTGAAGCTTTTCTCTTTTTTGAACACCGAATCGGCATTTCAACCTAGTTTGTCAGGATTAACTAAACAATTTTCTTCTTACCGATGTGGGAATCAGCGTTTCAGCCGAAATCAGTGAATAAAGATTGAATGAAGGGGAATGAAGTATAAATTACAGATAATCAGTTCGAGTATAGGTAACATACAAACACACACAAGTCAAGCACGCCTTAGGTACGCCTAAGTTTAACAGCGATCACTTGACAATGGTAAATATACATGAGTGACAAAAAAGGTTGGAAGGGTGAGAATAATTGGTCTGTCTAGAAGTTAGAATAAGTTATATAGCTAATACAGACTGCTTATCCACTATCCTACCAGAGGTCGAACTCAAAGCCTCCGGGCCATGAGAAAAGTGATTAACTGGATTTTGGCATTTTTAAATTCAGATAATTTACCTTAAGATTAGAGAAATGATTGCTGCATATCTGACTATAGTCATTTATAATAGTTTACAATAATTTTGTCCACTCTTATCTGCCATAGTTTTAATCATTTCCTTTTCACTATTAAAAAACAAACAAGCGTTAAATGTATTGACTGATATAACCGTAGAAGCATCGAGATGCTTGCCGTGTGAAAGCCCTAGGATTTGTACGACGCAACGGGAACCAAAAAGAAAATTAAAGCAAACGAAAGATAGGAATTCTATCTAAATCTCCAAGCAAAATCACAACTTATTAATCAAAAGGTTCCATTTATGTATGGATTTTACTGACATTTAATGATTTATCAAAATATGTCATACCTAACTCAAATAGTGAAAATAACAAAGTGGATTTTTCACTGAATTTATACAAAAAAGTTCTATATGTTAAACTGAACGAGTATCACGCTAAGTTAATACAAAAGAAGTTTAAACTAAACGTGATCTCTAAGCTTATTTATCTCTGTAGGCTATATCCTTAGAAACATTGAATCTTAAAATAGGGAAGCACTACATAAAGAAGAAGATGAAAAACTTGTGGTAGATTAAGTCTTCATTCACCTTTTTCTAGATGAAAACATGACACCCTAGCATGATACTACCATTCACATAAAAAATTCCCATCTAATAATTCATACTTTAAAGTTTAAGTTGATTCACGATTTAGTGTAATTATTATTTAACGCTAGTTAAGACGCCTGCACTACTCTTGAAATGGTTGATCTCAAAGGTTTCCTATCAAGAATTGGACATTCTACTGAAATTTTATAAGACCCGAATTGATATTCAGGGAGAGAGAAATACTTCAGAATCATTTGGTTGAGTTCATACATAAAAATTATTTGATTTTGTAACAAAATTAGCTCACTGAAAGCATTGATAAATCTAAGAATTTGAAATGAACCAGATTTCTATGTACAGATTTTCATATTATGTCTAATCTTAGTGCCCAGAGAGCTTATATAATTCCGGAACATTCATAAATATACTATCTACAGCTTAATGAAAAATCGCCCTGTGCTATTTTACCGTTTGATTCGTAAACAAAATGAATGAAATTCATTACATTTTTAGATTATGACTAACTGTGGAATACATAGTACTGCTTTCGTTCTATTCAAGACTTATCAACCAAATTTATCAGCACATGAGTCTCGATATTCATAATGACACTTAATGTTAGTAACAATATCATAACTGCTACGACCTTGAATCGCTTTTACCCCGTTGATACTTGTTATGACTTGACCTTGATCTGTCTAGTCTAAATTACAACTTTGACGCGATAGGCTGAGAGGCTTAACCTTGAGTCCAGTACGCGTGAGTTCGAGATGGGGTAGAGAGAACTACCCTAGAACCTGATTGGTTGGCAAGCACGCAAATGAGAGGATACAAGACAGTTGGAACACTTAACTCTGAATTGTCTGAATTCGGGTTAGTACAAAAATGTACATGAATAAATAAATGAATATCCTGACCACGACGTACGATAATTTGGAAAAATACAGTTATGCCCGAAGCTGGGAATTAGGGTAGAAATTACGGTGCAAAATATTATGTTTAAATTACAATATTTTCGGAACAAAAAAGGGTATGGTAGTGAATGATACATAGAACGAAAGCTCATGTTATGTAGAATAAGATAGGGACAAAAATAAATATAAGTGTTTTACAGGGTTTGAATGAAATGAATTAACGTCCCAAGAAAATGGCTTTCGTAGTTGTTTGGGATTCTTAATTCCCCGTTCACAACAATAACAAAAACGAACATGTTGTACATTGTGCTACCGAGTTCATTCAACCAACGATCAACTAATTATTTCAATAGGTATGGGAATCATAATTCAAGTTGTTGATATTTAGGAGTAAAGTTTAATCGGTTTCTGTCAGCATACATGCATTCAAAATGGATACTTTTTATTACAAGGAAGTTGAAATTATCTAAAAAATTATGAATATTCAATAATTTGGTTACTATCCAGCACCATAAGTTATTTTTTTCGTTCATTTAGTAATTAAATATTATCAGAATGGGTTTTGTGGAGATTTTTTTTTAGAAATTTCACTGGTTGAAATCATGAGTCATTTGAAGCCAGACCACCATGGAGAACCTGGAAGCACTGGACGGCCGTTTCGTCCTAGTATGGGACTCCTCAGCAGTGCACATCCACGATCCCACCCCCCGCGAGATTCTGTGAGATAGTAACTCACTGAACACAATGGTGTACGGTGGCGCAATTTCGTGGATCGGTTGAAGTTATACATTAACACTATTGGATGCCGGCCAGCTCAGTGCTGAAAATTCTGTATTGTACCAAAAATATAATATTGAATAAAGCTAATAATAGTAGTAGTTGGTTAAGCGCCTGGCGCGAGACCGATGGATCCCGGGTTCGAATCCCGCGGGGTGCGGGATCGTGAGTGCGCACTGCTGAGGAGTCCCATACTAGGACGAAACGGCCGTCCAGTGCTTCTAGGTTTTCCATGGTGGTCTAACTTCAACTGACTCATGATTTCAACCAGTGAAAAATTAAATATTGCCCGTTAGTATAATTTTCATTTGAGATATTACTGAGAACTCTAACTCTTTTTATATCCGATATATCATTTACGCTATATAATTATGTTCATAACCGATAAATGAGAATATTTTCACTCTGCTTCAAATAATACATTTCACGAAAATTACACTCTAATTTACAGTATTCACACTACATTCACTGAATATTTAAAATATTGAATTAGGGCTAATTAAAATTCAATCTTGAATGGCAACAAAATATACAAAAAAAACCCACCAAAAAAAGCTTTTCAAATAATTAAATCAATAAATCACTCGGCAACAAATTACATAATCACATGATAGAATCTTTTGAATGTCATCTATTAGAACAATAAATATAATACGGTGTTTTAATTGGTTTTTATTTATTGACTAATTTAATCAAATAATAATACGTAAATGTCACTTTGAAAAAATGTGTCTTAACAACAATAACAACAACAAAACCCCCTGATGGAACAAGTAAACCAATAAACAGATTGAAATTGACCTTCAAGGATGTAAAATTATTCAATCAGTCAATAGTTTCTTTAAATTTATCATTTAGGGAAGAACTTTTATGGAATATGAAAATTTGTTGGGTTTTTTTTTCATTGCAAAATACAAAATTAAATAACATGTCACTATTTTGTCAACCAGGTCTGTTGTGAGATATCAACTCACTGAAGACAATGATGTACGGTGGCGCAATTTCGTGGATTGGTTGAAGTTAGACATTAACACCATTGGATGCCGGCTCAGTGGTCTAGTTGGTTAATCGCCTGGAGCGAGACCGATAGGTTCTGGGTTTGAATCTCGCCTGGTGCGGGATCGTGGTTGCGCACTGCTGGGGAGTCCCATACTAGGACGGAACGGCCGTCCAGTACTTCCAGGTTTTCCATGGTGGTCTAACTTCAACTGACTCATGATTTCAACCAGTGAAATATCAAAAGATTCTTTATATTTTCTTCTTTGAAAAAAAAGTAAACGGCGTATGTTTGGAAATGTTATTGAATGTCAAATGGATAATGATTTTCAGAAAAAGTAGGTTAGCTGTTAGTAGGAGAAATGGAAACTTGTTTTAACTAAAAGTTCTTAAAGAAAATAAATAAAGTAATTTGTCAGCATTTTTAAGAATAAAACTTGTCAAGAATTTTTTTCGCGTAGTTTGATATCACACTGGGGACTAGGTCAGTTCGATAGAGAAAATCAGCTGATTCATGTATGTATATAGGTTAAAAATGTGAGGTAATTAGGAGGAAACTTTGGACTTAGAATTCGTGTTATTCAATGTTCATCAGCAAGACCTTGTGGGGCCCTTTGTTTTGTCGTCATTTTGATCGAACGATGTTGTTGATGAAAGGGCTTTCCACTTTAATGGCCCGAGATTTGACTCCAAGGTGATCGTAATGATGATTATTGTTGAAATATATATATCGCCTATCCTCCTATATAATCATCGACTTTAATCGCGTTGGTCAATAGCGGATTTAGACAAGTCAACTAACGAGAATGAACTTGTGAATACATATATTTTGTATATAAAGCGAATGGGATAGAACAAAGCAAAACGACGCGCAGTGGAGATGGCGGGTAAGCCAACTCCCATTTAGTCAGGCGTTAATCAATGTTTATAGCTACACAAAAGTAAGTTACAGATATGTGATGAGTAATGGGATAAGAAATGTACACACACCTACGCTCTCATATAAAAACAGTCAAGATTGATAAGCGAATAATTAACAAGGTCAGAATGTGACTCAAGTAGAATGAATAGAATGTGCTGTCCGAATGCTAGAAAAAGGTATATGGGCTTATCATAATAACCGATACTACATTCTATTTATAAAACTAATGGAACTTATTCTCTCCATAGTATTTAAACTTTTATTGACATCTCCATCAGAAGTTTAAAAACAGCAAGGAAAGTGCTGAGAGTTGAGTTACGTTCTACTGATCGATATTCACCGTCTTTTGAATAGTTGTTTCTCATGACAGAACAATGCTGGTTTCTTGTTCTGTAGTCACGTGCATACCTTAGTGTACTGGTCTCATGTGGGCTAGTTGTTTTTTCACCTTTGTATAGCCTCACCAAATCTTTTATTGTTTAAAGTTCACGTCCTATTAGTGTCTTTCCTCATGATTTTTGCTGTGAAACTCTATTGTTAGAGGCACTTATGTAAAGAATTAGAAGAAATAGGATGATCTGAAATAAAGCTACTTCTCCTTTCTCCAACATTCCTCTATTAAAAGCGTCCAACAAGAAGAAACACTTTGTCAAAAAGTGCCAACTAGAATGAAGCCTAGTTTCAAACCAGGACCCTATAATTTGTTATCACAAAACAAAGAGCATCACGATATTAAAGTACTCAGACAAATGATCACACTGAAATTTGATAAACAGAATTCGATTAATGTGAAGAACATAGCAAATATAGCATTGCTTAGCACTCAATGATTAATTATTGTTGACTGATCACTTACTACTTAGTATATTACAAGACAAGGTTTTATTGAATACCATTCAATAAAAATTCTACATTTTATTTTATATTTTAAAGCTGTTCTGCTGATGGATGGTTGTACACAGACCCTAGAATTCGATCAATTTGTGTTACTTTGTAAGTTATAGCTATTTGTTTTTTGGGCTAACTATTTAGGTAGATTAATCTGCTTGTCTACTAATTCTTAGTAGTTTTTAATATCTCGTTATTGAAATTCAGGTTTGAAATTGATCAGTCTCCACTGATATACGTATACCTTAAGAGGATCACCTCGATTATAGCCTTTTGTTATAAATTTTTATATCTTTGAATTAATGTTAGCAGTGGAATTCAGGATGAGCATTTTTTTACATTTGAAACTCATCATATGGATGTGTTAATGTTCACATAGAAATGTAAATTCAATAACTATCGCTCCAAACACTAATCCGTTATCCGTTAAGCTATTAAGTCTAAATAGCCACTAAGTATTTTAGTGAATTCGAGTTTCTGTATGCATATCAACACTGGAATGCAGGTAAATCTATCTAACACGTCTCAACTAGGATATAATATGTATTTATCAGTTAGGTTCTTAGGTTTTAATTGAGGTTACGAACCGATCAATCTTAAACCACCACTGAAAACCTGGAGGCACTGGATGAACGTTTCGTCCTAGTGTCAAACTCCTCACCAGTGCGCGTTCACAATGTCGGGGGTGAGGTAGTTACTCACCGAAGACAATGGAAGATGGCCGCGCAATATCATGGATTGACTGAAGTTTGACATTAACGCTGTTGGATAACAACTTGGTGGTTTAGAGGTTAAATGTTCGTAAAAGACCAGAGGCTTTGGGTTCGAATCCCCCACGCGGGATCGTGGGTGCGCACCCTTGAGAAGTCCCTTACCAAGATGAGACGACTGTCCGGTGCCTCTAGGCACTGATCGGTCTATGATCTGAATAAAACTCAACAATCTCTGCAACTCTATGTTGATAAATCCCTAAATCTTCCTTTTCTTATTGTCCCATTTTATTTTATGAAACCGATGAGCCAATCACATAGGTTAAACGGTAATAAATTTCATTTTGTATTGATTATCAGAAATTCGAAATTGGGAAGAAAACTAATACTTTTTCTATTCAGATGGTACGATCGATAAATTAATTGGTATGATTCCTTACTCATAGTTCTAATGAATTGTTTGTTACTTTACTTCTACCGAGGTGCTTTGCTACTTTTCACAGATGAATAAATTGATTTTGTAGTTGGTTTTCTTCATAGAACAATATCAGTTGGAAAGCTACTGAAAACCAGGATTCATTATCGTATGAAAAATTTCCATTAGTATAGATAGATGAACCAACTAGTAATCGAATCCATGACCTTTAGACTACTCCATTAAGGATATTAATTCAATGGTCTAAAAATCATACATTCTCCCTAAGACTTGAAAATCATGGCTTCGATTACTGGTTAATTCATGTGTTTATGCTATTAAGAACTGGATAATTATCCCGTCCTGGTATGTGACTCCTAAATAATATCACCGTCAATTCCAAGACCGTTAAGTCCTGCCGAGAACGTATAACCATTAGAACCAATGAGCCGGCGTTCAGTCAAATAATTCCGACTCCAGTTATAAACTAACCAGTGCTCCTTGGAACTCAATGATGCTTCAAATGAGATCAATATGTAAGAAGTACTACCTACGACTCCAACTAATCTTCACAAGAATCCTTGAGATAAGTTATATTTATTCAAAAAATTCAATTAAATGAAAGAATAATGAACTGAGAGCATTTATTTTTAGTTATTAGTTTTCTTTTCATTTCAGATGGGCTGATTGGATACCTTTGTATCAAAGAAAGTTTCAGTGTCCTGATATACCACCCGGTTATGCAGATAGTATTATTAGTAGTGGTGGTGCTAGTAATATCGGTAATATTGGTGAGTCAAATCCTAATCTGAAACCTCTATTGGAACGTATGAATATGCTTAGTAAACAACAACAAACTGCTGTATCATCATCATCGTCCTTTCCTACATTAACCACACCTAATCCATTATCTCAACTATCACAATATCAATCAAAATGGAATATTTATGATGTAAAAAGAGTTAATCCAGAATTTTGGGATGCTGATCTAGGATTAATGATTCCACCAAAATTAATTATTCCTTCTATGGAACAACAATTATATGGACCAAGAGATACTGTTAAACAATTATATGGTCGTAATTATCCAACTGATAAACAATTTATACAAGGAATTAAAAATGATCATCAATGGTTACAATTTTCACAATCACAAACTGATCTTTATCATCATATGACAATTAGTTCAATTGTTACCTGTTCAATAATTATACCGTTAATACTAGTAAGTTTTTATTTTTTTTTGCATAGATATTAAAGTTCGATTTGATAATGAATACTATAGACAATTAGATGGGGTAGCCATGGGGTCACCATTGGGCCCTCTACTGGCGGATATTTTTCTTGCAAAACTGGAGAATGGACCACTTAAAAACACAATTAGCCATTTAACATCTCATTATCGCTATATAAATGATACTTTCATTGTATTAGAAAAAGAACGTGAAAAGGACAATTTGCCTAATATATTTAATAACGTTCATCCATCAATTAATTTTACACAAGAGAAAGAACACAACAATAGCATATCGTTTCTAGATGTCTAACTAACTAGACGAGCAGATGGAACTTTAAAAAGAGGGTTACACAGAAAGTCTTCAGCAGGACAATACACTCATTTTTATGGTGCAGTATCAATCAGATACAAAAGGAACTTGATAAAGATCCTAACTCATCGTGCTAGAATGATACTATTGTAGATGAATTAGTAAATATTCGTAACTTACTTAATAGGAATGCGTACCCAAAGAAATTTTCGTATAAATATTCATGTATATTAGAGTAAAGCCTGATGACGATCTAATTGAAAACAATTGTTCGCTTATATGTGTTGTTCTTATTTTCACAATGGGAATCTTTAATATTCCAAAGAAATTCATCGACAAACACATAAAGGAGATGAAAAGAAGGACAAAGATACCTACTGTTCCGATGAAAGTATTGTTCTTAAAATTACAATTCCTAAATGATACTACTGAAGAAATTGTGACTCAGAGATTGAGAAAAGAGGTACAAAAAACATTTAATGCAGCCAGACTGAGTGCCGTCTTCTACAACCGCCCCACAATAAGAACGCTTAATAAAGACAGATTGCCTGAATTCGCTAAATCCATGTGTATTTATCGATTCAACTGCTCCTGTGGAATCAGTTACTCAACGTTAGTTTATAATCAACATGTCATTGTGTAATTATTACGTAACGTATCCAATCGACGAGTGTTATTTCATTATTGTAAATCATATACATATTAGTGTAGAGTCATGATGAAAAACTAATTGAAAAGAAATTTCTTCGTTCGTTTCGTTACTTCAATATTAAAGTTATTTGTTGTCTCCAGTTATTACCACAAACTATTGTGTATTGTCTTAGTTTGTTAAATGTTGATTATATATTGACATATGTTCTGTTTTACTTCAATAACTATAAGACATAGTTGGTTAATATTATGTATTCAGAGTTAGCAATTCATTTAATGATGTGAGTTTCTAGACATTTCTAATTTGTTAAGTAGAACCATCTGGATTTCAATGAGTGATATTGTTCCTAAGACGATTAAAAAAACACCATCATTATTGGCACGGTGAAGAACATATGTATATACTGGCGGTATGAATGGTTATCTATTAGGTCTTTTAGTTATTCACTTAATTAAAGTTCGATATCTTCCTTTTACTGAAACAGTCTATAAAGGAATCCAATTTTGTATTGAACCTTTTCTTATATTGTAGATTTGTTTCTCAGAAATCACTTTCTATTTCTTCAACTGTTGTCAAATGTGCTTAACAAAAACTAATTCAAAACTATGGAGTACTATGAAATTTATTGGTCAAATTTATCGTCTATTCAGTAAGTCTACAATTTTTCACCTCTCTCACTCTTTCTCTCTTTATACACACATACATTAGGTATTTACCTGAATGAAGATGTGTATTTTTATTGAAGTTTCTCTACATCCCCAAAACTCATGTTGCTTAAATGAGTATTCAATCAGTAGTCTAAATTGAAGTGAATAGTGTAGATAAATTCGCTTGACATAAACCCTAACAAAAAATGGATATTGAAAGAAAAAGCAGAATAACTTGTTCACTGAAAGATGATACATTTACATGCTACCAAAATGTTTAATAGTAGCGTAAATATGATTAAAGGTAGTAAATCCTACATTTTGCTTGACATTCTGTCTGGTTCAAGCTTTATCAAAGAAATATAATCAAACCTAGTTTGTTTAATTATACACTGTATTTAATTAAATACATTTGTATTAAATTAATGAAATTCATTTCAGATATCTTTCTTGATTGATCAACTATTTGAAAATGTTGACTTTGTGGATGATTTTCAGCTTGACGTTATGATCTTTAACACTGATCAGAATGAATTTATAGGTATCAATACCATGATTGGGACTTTATAGTTTCAAATAAATTGAGTATTATGTAGACAATTAATAATAAAACTATTTTCTATTTAATCCTAATGAGTTGAATAATTATCTTCCTGACATTTCATGACTCCATGTAAGCCTCTTCTTCAGGGTAAATAAAAGTTACTTTTTTATGTATTCTGAAGAAGTGGCTGACATGGAGTCACGAAACGTCAGAAAGACAATTTTTTATAGATTTATTGGGATAAAACAAAAAAAAATATTTTTATTATTAATTGGTCAGAATTTTGTGAAAAAAAGAAAGATTCAATATCAAAATACTCTTGTTCGAACATAAATTGAAAATGAGAGACATTTTTAAAGTCTGAAATGTTCAATAGTAACTAGTCCAACTATATAAGTTTAGCGTTTGTTGAAATCTGTAAAATACTATTAGTTTGCTTAAACGGACTATCGCTTCTTAATGATCAGTGAAATAATGTATGCCATTTAGTCATAGATCTTTTCTTCAATTTGATAAGTCTTGCGGATTGAACGCTATATTCGTCCCCTAAGCTATTCTGTAACCCCCAAGCTAGAACTATACAGCGACCTGAACACGAGAGAGAAGACTCAAAGTATACGAGAGGTAGTTTACTCCAACGTTCATTTTAATGCAGAAAATACAGGGTTTTTATAATATTTTAAATGTCCTTGGGTTACTCGAAGATTCTGGAATGCTACTAAACATAGTAACAGTGTAGCAGCCAGCCAATCAGAGCCTCTGCATGTGACGTTTCGCTTCCGTGATATTTTTGGCTAAGACTTCAAGTAAACGCTGATTGAATGAAACGCTCCTTAGTGTTTTCTGATGCTTGCTTGTCTTTCGCAAGCAATTTTCTGGATCACCCCAACACAATTAAGCATAAATATGTAATTTATGCAAATTTCACTTATGAGTGGGAACAGATTTATTTTAATAGTTGAGTTCATGAGCTAGACTACCATGAAAACCTGGGAGCACTGGACAGCTGTTTCGTCCTAGTACGGGACTCCTCAGCAGTGCGCATTCACGATCCCGTTCGTGTGATTCGGACCCAGAACTTTCGGCATCGCACGCCGACTTTTAACTTCTAGAACATTGAGCCGGCGCCTAACGGTGTTAATATCTAACTTCAACCAATTTTAGTTTTACACAATTCTAAAATGATTTCATGTTTTCTTGTAAAAATCATTTCTCTTTTTTTTGTCTTCTCTCTTAAAAAACACCAGTTACTTACATTTTCGGTCTTCTTACAACAATGCTTTTAGTCTGGCTCATTAAAGTTTCTGTTGGACGTCTTCGACCAGATTTCATTCAAATATGTCGTCCATCTGAAAATGTTTGTCCTAAATGGTATAGAATAATACAAAAAACACGTCAATCTACAGATGAACGCAGTGCAATTGAATCAGATCCACAACTATTAGATTTGATTGTTGCACAACTAGCTAAACAAGGTAAATATTTAGTTACAGTAGCTACAACACCTTCTCCGGAATCATCAACTGGTCACTTATCAGATGGATTATTTACAAATGCAGATTGTATGGAGAATAATATTTTAAAACTTAAAGAGGCTAGGTGAGTGTATAAAATTCTTAGAAATGACATAAAATAGAGTATTAATTTTTTCAATGGCTAAGATCATGAGTCAGTTGAAGCTAGACCACCATGGAAAATCTGGAAGCACTGGATGGCCGTTTCGTCCTATTGTGGGACTCCTCAGTAGTGCTCATCCACGACCTCGCCGCTTGCGAGATCCAAACCCAGGACCTACTGGTTTCGCGAATGAGCACTTGACCACTAGACCACTGACTCGGCATCCAGCAGTGTTAATATCTAACTTCAATTAATCCACGAAATTGAGCGACACATTCACCACTGTCATCAGTGAGTTACTGTCTCACAACAGACCTGGTCGAACTCCACTGGTCAATACTTCTCACTAGAACTCTAGGATATACCTCTTGAAGCCAGTCACTAGTGAGCATATGTTAATTAATATCAGATGGGTTTTGTGGATATTATAGTAATTTCAATGGTTAAGATCATCGAATCTCGTAGGGGGCAAAGTCGTGGATGAGCACTGGTGAGGAGTCCCACAACAGGACGAAACGGCCATCCATTGCTTCCAGGTTTTCCATTGTGGTCTAGCTTCAACTGACTCATGATCTTAACCATTGAAATTATTATAATGTCCACAAAACCCATCTGATATTAATTTTTTTATTAAAATGATAGTGAGCAATAAAATATGGGACATTGATTTCATCCTATCAATATTGATATTTAAACTATAATTTGAACTCAGTACCTGCAACTTTAAATGTCCAACGTGTTATCCACGGAGCAATTGAGCTCAAATAGCCATTAACTTGATCAATCAATATAAAGATATTATAGTTAGAATGATTAATAGTTTCTTTTTGTTGAGATTCAAGTGATATTGTAGTTCTTAACATTAACCACAAAATAAATACAAACCTTTACAAGTATTATTCATTAAACAGTGATAAATGAAGTTTGTTTTGTTTTGTTTTAAATATCTATGATGTACCAATATTTTATTTTGAATAATCTTAATGCTTTAATTGTATTATTCAATATTAAATATAGAACGTCATTTCCTTCACTGGGAGCAGCTGTTTCGATGTATGCAGCAATTTTTGTGACAGTAAGTCAATCATTATAAATAATCAATTATGTGTATTGATGTGAGAATCAATCTTGTTGTGGTCGTTTAAGACTTAGAAATACTTGGTCCTCATAATTGATTGATCACTGGGTGGTGATCAATGTCATGCTTGTCTAGTCCTTATTAGTGCAGATCGATCATGTTGCAATGTGGCCACCAGTATAGGTGACTCGACACTGCGGGCACTATGTATTGAGATTTAGATGGTGGTTGGAGGTAGTCAACAGGAAACCCTGGACCCAGGTTTCGTGCTACTTGGCACTCGTCAGCAAGCAGCATCAGTTCCCTCAAGATTGCAGGTACACCTTGCTGACGAGTGCCAAGTAGTACGAAACCCGGGTCTAGGGTTTCCTGTTGACTACCTCCAACCACCATCTAAATCTCAATACTTGGCCCTCCTTAATAAATCAATATGTAAATGATAACATTTCATCACAGGGTAATGTTGATAATATGAATTTACGTAATGGATTATGTCGTAAACAACGTAGAATCTGACACAGATATATGTAAATCGTCTGGAGTTGTAGCGTTGAATGAACATAGCGAGTTAAGATTAAAAAGATAAGTATCAGAGCAGTAGAACTGGTGACAGTCATAGTTTTGGTGGAGTTTCGTCCCTGAAATTTGTGCTGATAGTGTTGTTTAGAAACAAAAAAAGCTCCGTGATTAAACCATCTAACTCAGATAACGAAACTATCAAAACCAGCCATCGTCTGAACAATTACAGTTGTAATAGTAAAAAGTATTAGATAGAAATAATAATAATTCGTAAACAAACAGCGAGCTGATTGGTTAAAATGTATGACGTGATTTATAGGAAGTCGAGATTCAGAGAAAGATAAAGAGCGAATGCATTTGTATCTGTGTAACCGATTTTGAGCTATCCCACCCAGAGTCACAAACTATTGATTATAACTACTGAATGGACCCCTACCTAAAACGAATTAGTCCATCAATTAGCGTATTGATATCACGTTTTGGTTTACCAACCCCTAGCTTGCTTCCAACTTGGTTTTACACTAAAAAACAGTGTTCGTAAAGACAGGAAATGTTTGGACATATGTGTCATATATTTCAACCACCTCAGCCGTCAAAAGTCCATTACTTCATGAATTGCATTTTTCATATTCGCCTAACGTTAACGCCAAATATCAACGTTTCTCATTTACTAAAGAACTACAGTTAATGAAGTTGTTTTATATAAAATTAAAAAATCCTACATCAATTCTCACATAATGGTTTAATGACGATTCTCACTCACCGGAAAAAAAATAATGCGGACAACAAAGTTCATTCTATTTCGCCACACTTTAGAGAATGGCAAACTTGTTGCTAAGTTGTCGGAAATAGATAGAAAGAAACCCTAGACCTATAATTTATAGTATTTGGCATTGGTTACCAAGGCGTATCTGCAATCTTCGGGGAGACGATGTTCTATACGAGTTGAACTACTTAATTCAATGACTACGCTCCAATTATACTCAACTTGTTTTCACTAGTAATAATGAAGAAACTCATACGTTTTTATTGAAAAATTAAGATACCTACTACTGTATATGTAAACTTGATTTGTCATCCTGTCAAACGCTTGTAGTTGCTTCTTTTTGTGATAGAAAGCTTGAAAGTATTAACGAGTACAAATTAATCACTTTGATAACTGATAGTTTTTTTGCATTATTTGTTATTGTCTTCTCTAGGTCTATATTACTGCATTAATGAAAAATTTTCGAGATGCCTGTCTTTGCATTCCATTCTTATCATTGCTTGGTGTTAGTCTAATTGCTCTAATCCTTGGTGTCAATAGAGCGATTTACAGAAATAACTGGTTTGAAGATATTTTAGCCGGTTGGATTATCGGTATTTGTATAGCTATATACGTTGTAAGTAAGACTACTTGTTAATAATTCTCTGAACTTAAATAAACTGTAGGTAAAGGCTTGTAGAGATGCGAGATCAAGTTTACTAGGTCCGATTACTGCGTGTGAGGTCTTGTATGAGTAATGCTGTCCATTGTCATCCAATGCTTCCAGATTTTCAATGATCATGGTTTTGAGGAATTTAAGTAAACTACTTTACTACATTACAAGTAGTTAATATAAAAATGTTTTCTGATCACATCTATCCACGTGAAGTAGGAGTTGATAATATTATTCAGAATGACGTCTAAACTACAGGAAAAAACATCTTAAACGTCATTCTGTTCTGAGAATCTCTCTCATAACTTAAAATATCAAAGGACATATATGTCACAACTGTTAATTTCTCAAAAGGAAAGTGAATTAATGATCAACTGTAGACTGGTAAGTAATAAAGAAATATTTTACCTTACTCTAACCATATTAATCTCTAAGTCAAAACTGTCCAATCGAAAGAGATTAGAAGATGAAGAGAATAGGCTGAGCTGTTAGATTTATGTTGCTAAGAGAAGTTTATCTAACAGAAAAATCACTTGTTGGATCAATATTGATATTCATTAGGTTTAGACGTTTGTTGAGATTGATTTTATGTAAAGATGATTGTTATCATGGATCGATATCGGTCGTCATTATCATTTGAAAATTACTGAAGATTAAAGGTAATTACTTTCCTAATATGAGACACCTCAGCAGTAGTGGAACTGGGTGTATTATCTTTATATTACTGAATTTGAAAACAATCATCCATATTACCAACTTCCAATTGTCGATATAGAACATCGATCATCCAATACTATTAGCAATGACTTACTACTACAAGCTGAGGTGACTCTTAACTCCAACTTTCAATATTGTTGTATTCGGAAAAGTGACTTTCACTACTTAAGATACGAAAATGGTTTATATCTCTTATTTGCTTTTATAGAGTAAACAGAGATTATATAAATCTTAATGGTTGTTATTTGCATGACTTACTCTGGTACTTTGACAATAACACCAATATCATACTATTAGGATTAAAAGTAATGGATTGTTTACTTTGCCAAAGTTCTTCCCTTTTTTTTTCTTTTTACATAGGACTATTCCTTAATTATACAATTCTGTTTTTATGTTTCTATGTATTTTCAGTGTTTTAAAGTTTTATATAATCGTGACAAATGGAATGATTTAACTAATTATGATTTAAATCGTCGTTTGCATAGAATTCAAACTTTAATTCAAACTCATCATGATTATAAACAATCTGAGGTAAGATTAGTTATATACATAGATATGTATTTCATGCTAAATTATTACACAAAAATAGAAATAGATTTCTAATGGTTACACGTAGAAATTATCATATTTATTAAGAAGGGCAATAAATAAGCCTGATAGGTTTTTGTTATATCTTAGCGAAGATTAAATCACAAGTAACTTCTGGGACATATTAATTGACTAATATTATCTATATGTTTTTATGGTATAACTATTCAGTAATTAGATTATGTATATTTATATTCCTCTTATTATAAGCTTCATTTTGACCTATAGATTATTATTGTACGATTTACTGTTCATAAGTTATACTCAGTTTATTAATTACTGTCTCCCACGTTCACAGACACTTTTTGGCTTTATTGTGTATAAATGTTATTTCTCATTTTATGGTGCGTTGCGGTCTATTTGGTTGATATATAAACTCAGTATGTCTGAAATGATTCGCATAGCGGAGACTGTTATTGGCATTCTGGACTCAGCTGGACGGGCTAGGTGGGCAACGGACCAATAGGACGCTAGACTGATCAGACCGAACAAAAGTCGTTGGTTTAGTACAGTAAAAGAGTGAATAAGTCGTATTTTGATTGACGAATAGATTACGTGATAACTAGTGGGCCATAAAGACACAAAAGTTCCACTATCATTAGCTAATGGAAAATTCATATCTTACATTTAATTATGTTTTAAATGACTTTGACTATATTTTGATTGGGAGATTTTTGTACATTGGAAAACCAGAGGGTGATAGGCAACTGTTCTGTTCTAATATGGAACCCTTCAACAGTTCACTTACATGACCATTCCAGCGATAGAGCTCTAAACCTTTCGTCCACTCAGAAAACCTATCATCTACAAAACTGGTTGAAGTTCAGTGTTTCATAATCTTTGAAAGTTGTCTCAGCTGAAATCATTCCATGATATTAACTATCTTTACAGTAAACTGTCTTCACAAATTTCTCAACTTATACAAGTTTCCCAAAGTTCTATTTCCAGCTCTAGGTATGTGGATGATCACTACTGAAGAGTCCCATACTACGACGAAACGATCATTCAGTGCTTTCAGTTTTTTTCTCAATGGTTGTTTAACTTAAATTAATTAGTGATTTCAATGAAACTATTCTACGTTCGTTAAAATTGAATAATTTATAGAAAATGTCTATTGTCTTTGAAATGAATTTGAGCCATTGTGATTTAATATTAAATATTGTTTTTATTATTACTATTCATAACAATTAATTTTTTTATTTCAGTTAAAAATGATGAAATATTTGTGATATTCATACAGGTATGTTTAGATTAATTAAAGGAAATTATATCTTACTACATATATATCTATACAGTGTCTTACATCGTAGACTGAAAGCAGTTAAAGCAAATACTGAAAGCCAGGATGTATTGGACTGTTGGTTTGGTCCTAATATAGAACTCATCAATAGTATACATATATTACCTGCCACAAGACTGATCCTAGGATCTTTAACCTTAACATAAAATGATTAACATTTCCCATTTCAATCAATTAGTAATATAGAATGATATTGAATGTAGGGTTTATTATTTAAATGAATTAACACAACTAACCGGTCAAATTATCAGTGTAGGGATTGTGGAGATTGTTAAGTTTTTGATTGAAGTCATGAGTCAATTGAAGCTAGACCACCATGAAAAACCTGGAAGCACTGGAAGGCCTCTTCGTCATAGTATGGGACTCATCAGCAGTGCGCATCCACAATCCCACCACGCGAAATTCCAACCCCATGACCTACCAATCTCGCGGGGTGCGGGACCGTGGATGCGCATTGCTGAGAAGCCCCATACTAGGACGAAACGGCCGTCCAGCGTTTCCAGGTTTTCCACGGTGGTCTAGCTTCAATTGACTCATGATTTCGGTCAAATTATATTGAAATTAGTTAGGTGAATATATAGATTGTAATTTTTCTAGAAAAAAGTTGTTCAAAAATCAAATGAATAGTCTCTCAAGAATTCACAGCTTAATACATGGAAAATATTAAATAAGAAGTTGTAAGTGGGAACTTCTCGCTAGGTGAATTAATAAAAAAGTAGTCTGAACATTTAGCTTAGATCGTATAGTTTGAACATTCTAATAGAATATATTATTAAAATTAAAATTATCGAAGTAATCAGTGGTCTAAATTTTAGGTACTCATTGTGTGACATGAAGGCCATTGGTTAGATAGATCCTTAGTGTGTTTGTTGATGAGCACCTTCACTAAGGAATCCTATACTATGGCGAATTAATTATCCAGTGCTACCCGATTTTCAATGATTATTTAATTTAGGTCGATTAACGGTCTCAATATAACTCACCACTATCCACAACAACCCGTTTACTGATAACTAAAAGTAAGTTTGAAGAACTATCCAATTGGGTAGATTTACTGATTTACTGATTACATAAAATGTTCCCAACATTCTTCTAGTTCTTGAAGATATTATCGAGGAATTCTCATAAAATCTTAACATGCTTCATGTAACTAGGTGGTGTTGAATTAACTAGAAATGGAATACTGAAGAGTAAATGAGAATACGATTTTTCCCCCGAAAAACTGGGTTATGCTAAGGTACAGATAATCTAATATCATCTCATTCATTCACACACTAGTTGAATCCATCCATTATTTGTAAGAGCTGATTGTAAGATTGTTTTGTTATATGAAATAAAATTTTTCTAAAGCATCTCAATTCCATCAAAATTAGTTTTGTGGCCTGCTTCTACTCAATACAGCGCTATATTCATATTGTATTCTCAATCATTTTTTTTAGGTTTTTTTTAGGAATTCACGAATAAATTTCAAACAATGTTTTTAGGCCTAGTCTGTTCCATATTCAAATATCACAATGTCTTTCATTCTCATTTACGGGATTAAAATTAGTGCATCCACCTTCAAAGACATAGTTTTGATGTTTATTTTTAAATATTACATCTTTAGTTTTCACAAATATTGAACTAAATGAGAAAGAGAAGTGATACAATTTCTTGTAAGAAGATTGATAAATAACAGAATTTGTAGATTGTATTCGTCACAAACTGTTCTCATTGTGGGATAACATTGAGATGAATAAAACCGACAAATCAAACTAATCTTCATATGAAGCCTTTAGATTCACGACTCGATCTCTGGAAAGATATTTAATGAGCATTACCTGAAAACTGAATTAGTCTCGATCAGACAGATTTAATATTTCTTGAACAGTCCAACTAATATTCACCAGTATGTAATGCCTTCTTATTAAAGACTTTAAGTATTCTATCTCTAATTCACTCAAATGTCATTCATAATATTTTAAAATATTGGTTCAACAATAAACCGTTGACTACATATCCTAGTACAAAAACGTGCATTAAATTTTGTCATAGATTAAATAAAAACGTGAGTGTCTATTTATATGTGAGCTGATATTGAGTACTAAATTATAGAATTTAATGGATGATAGTCAACATATTCTCGTCCATCGTAATGATTGAATCAATCTTTCAATTAATCAAATTGTACTGTTGCCCTGCTCATCCAAATCATCAAATTATATTTTCAATTCAGAAATGTTAAACTTTTAAAACAAACGACATAATTTATGAGCCTTTAAATATTCAGTCTTAACAACAAATTGTAAATCCCTTTATTGATTTATTTATAAATTCATTCGTGTCCAAAGTTTATATCTAGAAAGATTATGTAACTTGTTAGTTAATACATTTTATTAAGTGGAAGAACCTCATTTGGTCGAATAGGTATTTCTAAAAATTGCAAGCAGCTTTATAAATAAGAGCGTAGTGAACGATATTTATTAAGGGGGGATGAAAAAACCAGATAGTAAGTACTATATGGTAAAAGTAAAATTCGATGACATTATAGAAGACACTTAATTATAGTACATGCCTGGCGATTACATCGGTAAAGTATCCAAACCAGTAAAAAAGTATTAGACAAGATTAATACTTCCTATTAGAATAACGTTTCAAAATCTTAAAGATGAAATTTAAATGACCAGCACAGCGTTATATATGTAATACTTTTCATAAATACCATTCAGTTTAGTACAAGTTTGACAATATCTCCTCTTAAACAAAAACGTGATACTGATTTCAAAAGCTAAGGTTTCTGATGATTAACTGACTGACTGGCCATGATTTTAAAACAAAATGTAAAACTTTTATCTAGACAGACATCTATAACTATTATTCTAAAGGGCTTGAATAATCCTATTGTTGATATTTTGGACTCAATTTTGTTGGCTTATATGCATCTGATGAATCGTGCCTCAACTTAGCCATTTTATGACAAGTTTTAGAGAATAGATGCATTATAGCTAACAGGGGAGTCCAGGACACGTGTCTTGTTCTATTCAGGATTTTTCAGCTTTGTGTACGCACATCCTGGTTTTGCTTTTCATACTGAGACAAGAAACGAGAACCTTTCGCTAAAAATGCGTTATCGATTGAGATATTAAGTCTAGATAACTACTAACTTTAACTGCGACGTTGAAATCATTATTTATGGTCTCATATTAAAGATCAGCAATTGGATACAGGTGAATGTAGCTGATTAACCCTCAATGGGACCAAACATGTGTCCTATATCCCACTACTGACTATAACCAACCTATTTTATAGAAAAATATCTTTAATGTTTACTGATTAACCAAGCTTAAATTGCCATTTATCGGGGATATGCACTGCTGAGGAGTCCTATAATAGAACGAAACGATTGTTCAGTGCTTCCAGGCTTTCCATTGTAGTCTAGCTTCAATTGACTCATGATCTCAACTATAAAATTAATTTAATAACCATAAAACCCCTTCTCATAATAATAATCATCCTATGCTCACTAGTGACTGGCTTCAAGAGGTATTTCCTGGAGTTCTAGTGAGAAGCAGTGATCAGTGGAGTTCGACCAGGTATGTTGTGAGATAGTAACTCGCAGATGACAATGGTGGATGTGTCGCTCAGTTTTGTGGATTAGTTGATGTTAATCATTAACACGGTTGGATGCTGACTCAGTGGTGTATAGTTTACGCGTTCATGTGTGAGACTAATAGGTCCTGGATTGGAATCTCGTGGGTGGCAGGATCGTGGATACGCACTGTTAAGGAGTTTCACATTTGGATGAAACGGCCGTCCAGTGTTCTAGCTTGAATTGACTCATGACCTCAACTAATAAAATTATTTAAATTTATTTTTTTCTTATTCGAAATTTTATTTAATATTTTAGTACATAAACATAAATTATGAAAATCTATTCAAATCAATCCATCACTTTTGATTGATCTTCTTTAGAAAAGTATTCATATTCATAGATCATTTCTCATTCTTTTCCTTACTATTTTGATGCTAAATTGATATATATGAAATTAAAATCGGCGAGACTCTAATTTATAGACGACCTATGAATGAATCTTAAGTGACCTTGAGAAATATTAGCCAATCAGCAAACAGTCAGTATAGAGGAAAAATATACTATACAAAATCAAAGAAATGAAATGGGTACACTTTTTATACGTGGTTCAAAAATTTGTCAAGGTTAGAAAGAGGTTCTGAGATTCTAAAATCGTAATGCATGCAGTAGAGGCAATCATCCATACGGCTACGGAATAGTCGGCCTCTGGAGCCATCATAAAGTCTCAAAAACTCTTTCAGCCTCGACCACATAGTTTCAATATTGTTTATGTGCACTCCGGTTGTTGAGTGCAGAAATACTACTTGTGGATAACGACACGATGCACATAACCAAGCACATGTAGGAGTCTGTATGCTCTCCAATCATCCGTATATATTGTAGTACCTGGCTACAACCAGTGTTACTGGTGCTTTTATTAACCAGTTCGCAATAATTGCCGTAATTTACCTTAGGAATTATATATGGGATTTTCATCACGAATTGACATCAGCTATAATGCCAGAAATTTATTTAGCCAAATGAATGGAAGGCTTTTGCGTTAAAATCCGAGATCTATTATCTTGTACCTGATTGATTCGTCCACAAATTATAGTCTCGCCGTTTAATTTGTTATAGCCCTTAATTGTCATGTTTTGTAAAAAAATTCCCTATGAACTAATCGTACGTTAGTATTAAGCACTGAGGTTGGCGCCGTAACCTTGAAATCTCTAAAACGCTTTCTGATTGGTTCGTTCATAAATCAGTCTCGCCGTCAATCTTTCTCTGTCTTTTTTCTTTAATGTTTTGTTCTGTTTCTCTATTTTTCTTTTTTTTTTTCAATTTATCTCTAGGTAAGTATCACTAGTGATAACAACGAAATAATTTTCAAAGAAAAAAAAGTTCTAATCATAAATGAAAATATTGAAAAGTTGAATTATATCACACTGTTTAAATGAGCCAAGTAACAATAATCAATAATTTATTACATCGTTTCTAAACAAACATTTAGGTTTTATTAATAACCAGTTTTGTTTTGTTTTGTTTTTTTTTTTACAAAAAAAGTATGTTCCTGTTGAGTTTTCTTTTGTTTGTTGTTTTTTGGTGAAAAAGAACGCGTTACATATTGCTATGGTTTCATTTCTTTTTCTTTAAATTAATGATGATTCAGTTGTTTGGAATCTTATTTCAAAAAGAACAGTTGTTTGTTTGTTTGTTTGTTTTTCATTTAGGAATTATTTATATTGTTGATAATCATTATATTTTATGATTAGATGGGTAAATTATGATTTTCAATTAGAATAATAAAACAAATGAAAACATACATTTATTATGAAAATACATAAATGTGATTTTATATTATATTGGTTTAATAGTGTAGTGAACAGAACATGGGTAAGGACAGTCGGATATATTTTACACAAAATTACAGAGTATGTGGTGAACCAGACGATATATATATAAACTCAAAAAGTATCAACTAAGTTAATAAAGATCAATAAAAATGTTAGTATATATAAGTTAATTATTACAAATACAATAGAAAGTTGAGACTTTACTTATGTTCACCAAATTGATGCGTGTTCAACTTTGGTCTGGTACTAAGAAACCAAAATTATATAAATGCTTGGTAATTTCAATCTGGTTGACGAACTCTCCAGTGATATAATCTAACGTAGGATGTGATATATTCTAAATACAGTCTATAAATGTAGATAGAATTTGATTTAGACTTCAGTTAACTTAATCACAAACGAAGATAGAACGAGGAATGTGTGAGTAGTAGTGTATTTGTTAGCCAGCTACAGTATGTCACGCTATGTGTTTGCACAACGGAAAAGTGTGTTCAATGTCATTGACTAAAACAACAGGTACAGTCATTTGGTGATAAATCTACATACAGTGAAAGGTTGACAAAAAAAATACAAATAATAATAAGAACTATTTACAAGATAGACTTCTCAGACACATCACCACAAGTATCTCAATAAAATCTGAGAACCATATATTAAATCGTTAGTTTGCAAAATGTTCACCAATTGTCTCAAAATGCCTCAAACTTCATTGCCCTTGCATTTTCATACAAATTTCATTATATTCCCACTCTTGCTTTCTTGATCTTCCCCCATCTTCTGCTGCCAGACATTACATTCTCGACTCGCGTCATATACTACTTATATCAATATAATTAGCACACACCACAATAGTAATGTGGTAATAGTACTAATAATAACGAGTTTAATCAGACATCAATCAAATGATAAGCGTTTGCTATTGTGGAAAATTTGATTTTCTTTTTAAAAGAATGAGACACATAACATTGGTTAGATGTGTGGCTTAAAATCCTAAGGTATATATATGAGTTTTCAGTCAGTAAAGATCTGTTTTCACAATTCTCGGGCTCCTCAATGCTATGCTTGAAGTAATTACGAGTTCAGCTAATCTGTGAATGGAACAAACACTCTGTGACCAAAGACCAATAAGCTAGCTATTTTGATGTATACGAGTCTCGTTAATTAGAAAGAGAAGTTCAAGTTCGAAACGGAGAAATATATTCCACAAGTAGCCAGAAGTACAAGCAATCACGAACAAACAAAATACATTTATTTTGACACATAGATACTAGTACAAGGAGGCAACAAATACACATGTGCCACACCGATCTCATTTGATATGTGTGTGGGCTGTGACACTAACTGGGTGCCCAAACCGAAGCAGGTGGTTTTCTCGGGGAGCCACACCCTGAGCCTTCGACCTGAAGGTCTGATCCACAAGGCAGTGGAGCAACGTAAGGAGATGCAGTCCTATGGTAGCCGGTGACCAACGATTGGTTCATACTCCATTTGTTCCTTCAGGATACTGGAGCCCATGTTCACTATTGGTTTGGAATCAGTTTTCCAACTCCCCTAGGTGGACACTCCATTTCCACCAACCCGGTTAAAGCACCGGACATTCGCTTTTCATCCTCTCAATTTCGTAGACAACACCCCTGCCACGAGAAGGCAGTGAGTAGGACATCCCTGACAGAGGCTATATATTACGCGTGGCCATGTGAGAGCATTTCGAGAAGGAGAGCGGGCTCTCTCCATTCTCGGCTGTACCAGGGCATTTGAGGGTAATCACGAACAAGTTTAGTTAGAAATACACTCATTTAAACATCGGTTTGTACATGCATTTTTGATTGGTAATCAGAATAAATAACATATATGAAAAATAATTCATGCAAGATTATCGCATATTATACGGAATAACATGTCATAGGGGAAAACAGAACAGAAACTGAATGATCATCAAATTGAATTGAACGAAATTAATGTTGAATAAAAATCACAATGAGTAAATCAACCTAATTTTAACTTTTCATCCCGTCATAGTACTCACTCAAGTACCCATTTGAACCTGTATATTGAAAGCTCATGTATCAGTTTCAGAACCGGTCATGAAGACGATAATGAACAATGGGTATAAAATAAATGATAAATACTAAGTGATTATGTCGCAAACTACTGAAATCAGCGATGAATTGGCCCTTAAAAATCTCGAAAATGTGATACATTAAATATAGTTACTGTTACCGTAACCAATGAACAACAGTCTAATTATGTCGCTTTTAGTGATGTAATCCACGATAATTTTAAAGGACCAACATGGACTAGTAAGTAATACAAGTAAACACTCAGGGTAAGGAAAAAAGAGCTCTCATAGCCATATAACAATGTAACATATAAATATAACTGGATCTGTCATAACTATTCAGGTGTTAAAAATATTTTGAATTGCTTCATTGTCCATTTCTTTTTTGTGCATATGCTATACTACTCATTATTATTCAACAGCTTATGTTTTATTCAATCATTTTTAGAATTCGCAACTCATTGTTTCTGTGCTGCAATATACTGCTACTCCTAAAAATTTGGATATACTCCCCATGTTTTACCTATTATTCTATTGTAATAGTATCTCCTTCTCATTTTTCTTGTTTTTTTTTCGATTTTATGTATTATTTATTAAAACTTTTAATCCCAAACAACCCCCAATTTTGAGTATGGAAGCCGTTGCTTATGGTAGTAATTTACAGTATATGGTGTTACATGTCTTGATAAAATTGTTTGAAAGACTCATTTTCTTATTGATAACTCTTCCGACATATTTCCAGTCCATGAGCTACTTATGAGTCTTGGTCTGTGAACTGTATTGTTCATTTTTTTCTTCTCTCTATTAGTATCGTCTTCTAGGAAAAAAACCTGTCTTTAGATTTCCCCATTTCAAAAGCTAGTGGCTATCTGAACTCAGTAGTTAAGTGGATGACGTGATGGTGACTCAGCAGCTGGATGCATCAAATAAGTCGAAACGAGTGTACTGGATTTCAATGATAACCACTATCCATCTCTATTTATAATGCTTGTTACTTAGTGGCGATAATAAACAAATTGTGTTTACTGAAAGTTTTTAGAGTTAAAGTGAAATTGTATAGGAATAATATACTTTTTTGTGATTATGTGTATTGTTACCGTGGTTACGTTTTACTTTTAGTTCGTTTCTTATCTTGAATATTTAAATAGAAGTTAATATGTTGATATAAGAATTTTCTTTTCAGTACTGATATTCAATAAAATAACAATGACCTATTTGATTAACACGGTCTAGCTTATACTCTATCCAATGAACATATAGCGACTCTCCTATAATCAGTTTGGATTATGGTTAATGTTGATTAAGTATTTTATATTAACTTACTTAACAGACAATGTTATTTAAATAGTAACAATTCACATATTTCTTTGTTCTTTTATGATCACTATTATATCTGTATAAACGTGTACACTTGATTACATAAAAGCTTACGCATATATCTCTCACTAGCTTAAGTGTTGATAGCTTAAATATCGCTCAATGAATCATTCTCTTCCCCACGTATATATGTACTCGAATCTTTTTAATAGCCTTTGTCATATCTTATGTGCCCTTATTCGATTTGATTATAAATTCGCTTTTGCTTCAAACTCGCTGGATGTGCTCGTAGGTTTGTGATCTGTGCTATCTGCTCATAAACTGTAGTCACCGCTTCTTATTGTCTTCTGATTTTAAACACCGTTGGGATTTATGTAATAACGGTTATCGAGGAGATCGTCTAACGAAGCTAAATCACTACAAACATGTGAAATGAATAACTGAAGCTGTTAACTATGATTATGATTGAAAAAAATAACATCACATTGTAGTTAAATGTGAAATAATTTTGATTCAGTCTGACCTTGATGTTATACCTTTACTTAATTAACAATTGATGAAGGTTGTAATTTGTAACTATATTCAATAACTACGAGAGCTAAGATTATACAAATTTCATTTTATAAAATATGCAAAGTTTCATTCATCATAGTGGATTATCTTCTTTTCTCACCATACATAACTCCCCGTGTGAATAGACAAGGAATCTGAAGAAGCCGATTTCTGAATAATTCAACCTTAGTTTTTGTACAACAGCTTTACACATTGTTGGTTCGGGTATTATTTTGAACAGAATGGTACTTTGATCCAAAGAAAAGAACTTTAATTCATATACTCATAACACATCTTGTGTTGTTCTACCAGTCACCTACTTGATACTATTTTCTTCACCCTGTAGCAACGTTACCACATGCTCAACATAATATATGTATTACTTGTATATTGAAAGCGATAACTCTTGGATTTTTCATTCCTTGTTCACTTTTTGAGTTTATACTAAGTCAGTTAGTTGTTTAGTGATCTTTAGCTCCGTTTTCGAAATTCTCCCAGCAGATATCAGTTCATAATGGGAATCACTTTTCAAATATATTTAAAAAAAACTCCCTTAAACTATCTAATTAAGTATATTTGATATCAAACTATGTTTGTGCAAAATTTGTAAGTGATATCTATCATGAAATGATCTCAGCTGGAATACTAGGAATCATTGGATAATTTTTCCATCATAGTATGTGACTATATAGTAGTTCACAAACGTGACCCCTATCAAGGTTCAAACACACGACATCTGAGAGATCATATATGGCAAGCGCTTAACCATTGAGTTATAGTCCAACGGTACAAACTTCATATATCTATCATTTCACAAAATAATATAATGAACATTTGATAGAAATAATGGCAACTATTTTATTACCAACTTATCGGATCTACACGGTTATAACTACTCACTAAAACTTCAGGAAATTATCTCGAAGTAAATCAGTTTTGTGCTCATAATTATGCTGTAAATTGTTTACTAGTGAATAAAGTGTAAGCGTGTGGTGTGTATTACTTATATCCGCACAAGCAGTGTATAACAGTGGTCAGGCATAGAATGTATT